AAAACATAAAAAAAATACATGCATAATCAAAACAAACCAATAAAATATATCTAATTAATTAGAAAAAAATTACTATAACAAGAATTCAAAAAACAATTGTTAGAACTAGCAAATTTGAAAAACAAATTATAAAATTATAAAATAATCTCATCAAATTCTTAATAAATATCTCAAATAAGAATAAAAATATATTTTAAATTTGAGTTATTGATATTTAATTACCTTGTTTTGTTTCCGGAAGATAAATTAAACAACTCTGCTTTAATCTTTCCACACAAAAATTATGTTTGTGATGCGCATCTTTATTCTTGTTTTTGTTTTGACCAGCTGCGTTTACAACTATTTATATTAGGGTTGTGATTACAACTATTTATATTAGAGTTGTAATTTAAAGCTTATAAATAGGGAAAAGACCAAAAAAGACATTAATTATTTTATTTTATTTTTCTTTCCATGTAGGCACTTTACAGCCTATTACTTGTAATTTTTTGGAAAAGCTGGATTCTCTGTCTTCAAACTTTCATCAGCCTACAATGGCAATTTACATATAATTATAAAATTAAAAAAAAAATCTTGCAGGGGCTCGAGCCCCTGCTTGCCCCCCCTTCACTCTGCCCCTGGTTAACACTAATTTAGGCCATCAAAATAGAAGATTTTTGTGTCAAATTATTTTATTTGACGAGGGGAGTTCATATTAGATATTTTTATATATTAAAAGTTTATGAAGAAATAAATCTGAGCTTGAGTTGATTGAAATGTCAGAACCGTGAAAAAATATTCTTTGATGGTGCAACATGATAAAATGGAGCCAGAATTAGGGTAATATTAATCACACCAAAAAAAAGATCTTGCCTTTCTCCTTTTCACTTACTAAATGTTATTTCATTAACATAGTCAGATATCAAGCCTTAATTTGTGGGTTGGAAATGACAGTGAATATAAAGATGCCCCATCTTAATTTTTTTAGGATTCTTAATTTGTCATCAAAAAACTCCTTTTACTTTATAAAGTCAAGAAGCTAGAAGTCATCCTATATCACAAGTATGTACTAAAATTAATGACATCACTTGATTGTGTCACTTTAGAACATGTACCATTAAAAAAAAATAAGCAAGCTGATGCCTTATCAAATATGGCTTCAACATTAGCATCATGTAGTGATAAAATAAAAGTCTTTAAATGTCAAAGATTGGTCATTCTACCTGCACTTTTAAGTACTAATCAGTCATTCTACGAATAACTCATGACGTAAAAAAGAAAGAACAACTGAGAGCAATTTCTGTCTATGAGATTGAAAAAAAGGATTAGTGCTAGCTGCTTATCAACTATGTGAGACATGGTAAGCTTGCTAAAGACCTACGTCATAAGATAGAGGTGAGGCGAAGAGCTTCTTGGTTCATATACTTCTCAGGCACTCTTCATCAACATTCTTTTGATGGAATCTTTTTACGTTGTCTCATAAAAGAAGAATAAAACATACTCGGGATCTGTGGAGCGCACTAATCGAGTCATAAACTTCACTTATGAATCAAAAAAATGGGTTACTACTAGCCTATAATGGTGAGACTGCATAGACTATATCAAAAGAGGCTAAAGTTGTTAATTGCATGCTAATTTGATCCACCAGCCACCCGCGCCTTTACACCCAATAGTTGCTTCTTAGCCCTTTAATACTTAGGGACTTTATATGGTAGGACCATTGCCAAACAGTTCTAGGGGGTATCTTTACATATTGGCTATAATAGATTACTTCTTAAAATGGACAGAAGTTGCAGCGTTAAAAGAGATCAAGAAAGAGATAGTTGTAAACTTCATTCAAACAAACATCATCTATTGTTATGGGATACCAAAATATATCATAACTGAACAAGTTATGTGCATAGTTCCATTTCAAACAACATAACTCTTTTATGTGCAATGCTACGACTAATGGCTTGACATAAGCTTTTAACAAGACATTATGCAATATTCTTAAAAAGGTGGTGAATCAATCGAAGAATGATTGACATGATAGAATTAGAGAAGCTCTATAGGCTTATTATACTACATTTCGGACACCAACTGAAGCTACTCCGTATTACTTGGAATAAGGGGTTGAGGCTATTTTTCTACTATATTGTCAAATTTCATTTCTAAGAATTGCAATCCAAGAAGAACTTTTCAATAAAGACAATGTTCATAATGCCTTGAAAAACTTAAAGCTTTAGATGAAAAGTGTTTTGAGGCAACAACAATGATTAGAATATTATTAAGCATGACTGTATAGGGCTTTCAACAAAAAAGTGTGATCGCACTCATTCCAAAAAGAAAATCTTGTCTTGGCAGTATGATGCCTAATAATTATATTTAAGCATATGGGCAACAAGTTTCTTTTTGAATGAAATGACCCTTATGTGGTTCAAGAAATCTATACCAATGGAGCTTACAAAATTATCAAAGAGAATGAATTGAGGATTGGACCTATCAATAGCAAATTCTTGAAAAGATACTATGCTTGAAATTTGATGTAGTTCCTAGCTCGTATAAGCCAAAACTGTGAAAGGCATAAAAAAATAATGAAAATATTGAACTATGTTATGACTTAATCCTTTATCCACAAAGATATGCAGGCAACTTGAAACTTGTTTAGAGTACAATTACATAAAAAAAAACTTATTGACAAAAAAAATCATTCGAACTACGTTGTGACTTGATTCTTTATTCACAAAGATATATAGATTATTTAAAAATTATTCTAAATACAATCATGCTATCCTTTAAAATGATTCAAACCTATACAATTGTTTGCATGGAAAAAAAGGGATAAATAAACTTCAAAATACAATAATAATATAAAAATTGAAGAAACAAGACGCAAACTAAGGTGAGGAATAAATAAACCTCAAAACATAATAATAATATGAAAATTGAAGTAAAAAGACGCAAGCGAAGATAAAATAAACTTTATTAATAATAATAAAAAAAAATCTATTGTATAAAGTATATATTCTCAACATAAAAGTATTAGCTAGTGTTGCCAAAAACTTAAAAGCATTTCAAAGCATGAGAAACCATAGGCATACTATTATCACAAGGAAAGAGGAAAACAGGTCACGAACTCAAAGAAAGCATTTTCGTGATGGCAGAGAGAATGTCTGGAAATGCCACAAATCTGATAGTGCCTCTTCTGATCCTAACAACAACAGCAACTCCGAGAATAAGACTCATTGGCAGCCTTTTACAACTCAAAATCCTGGCTTTGATGAATACTACAAGAAGCGAGGGATAGTGACACCATCAGATTATTGGGATACGTTTGTGGAAGTTCTTATAGCACCCTTGCCTGCTGCTTCTAGAATCAATTCAAGTAGCCAATTTTGTGAAGATATCAAATCGCAGCTTGAGCTTTATGAATTCTTTTATAGTAGAGACCACTTATGGTGATGAAGAGGAGGCTATCAGACCATTGCCTTGGTACCCTAACAATCTTGCTTGGCATTCAAATTTTTCCAGTATGCAGCAAAGGAAGAACCAAACCCTTGAGAGGTTCCATGAGTTCTTAAAGCTAGAAAATGAATTCGGAAACATCACCAGACAGGAGGCTGTCAGCATCGTACGTCCGCTTCTTTTTTTTATGTGCACCGGGATCATTTCGTACTTGATATGTGTTCTGCACCAGGTTCAAAAGCATTCCAGTTGCTGGATATTATATACCAATCAACAAAACCAGGATCCCTACCTGATGAAACGGTTGTAGCTGATTACTTTGAGAAGCAGCAACCTGTTGGTGCTAAGGAAGCAGAGACGGACGCGCGCCTGCTAAGATTGGTTGCCTGGCTTTCTGGAGGCCGAACTGTCTGTAAAAAAGAAGGGAAAGGTGTGGTTTTTATAGCCACTTACTCTGATGAGTGGACTCATGCCTGATTAGAAGAATCAAAAGCCTGTGAACTTTTTCCTAGCTGAAGAAAATTTTCCCAGTTCAATTAAGCAAACTCGGCTACCAGTACAGGAAATTTTTTTCTCTCCGTTTCAATAATTCATTCACGTTGGACAATCCATTCAGGAAATAAAGTCAATTAAGCTAAGTCAGGCTAGCAGTACTGGAGGATTTTTGCTCTATCTAAGCAATTAATTCAGGAAATAAAGTCAATTAAGCAAAGTTGTTTACGTACCTTGCTCTCTGGAAAATTCATTCAGGAAAAGTTGAAATTAACAAAGGATGGAGGGCACTGTTCCAAACCAAGGAGAAAAAGGTGTTACCACTTTTATCTGTCATGGCTTACTAATCGTTAGTCGGAATCATGAACAGACTGCTCCGTTGCATTCAGGACAATGAGATATTCATAATAAAATGTTACAATACCCATTCTGCATAGAAAGAAAAAAAGTTTCACAAGTGCTTGGGTTTATAATATCAATATGTTATGATTTTTTAAATGTTAAAAAATTATTAATAATTTGATTTAATTTTTTAATAATTGATTTCTTAATATAATTAATATCTTTTCATTAATAATATTTTAATTTAATATTAAAGTATATATCTCATAGTAAATCATGTTTATTCTCTATATAATAATTATTGATTATTTAAAAAAAAGAAAAATCTTTTCAAATCTCATTTCATCATAGCCAAGGATTTCTTAGACAATATTATCTAAGAATATATTAAAATCTTTTCTTAATTTATCTAGAATGATGAATTCTTTATTAATCACTTAAATATCTTCATATAATTCAATGTATATCATTTCTTTATCTCGATTCAAATAAAATATAAAAAGATCAAAGCATAACATCTAAAAAGCTTGAATAAACCCATTTATACTTTCTAATTAGCAAAAATCAATCAAAAAATAAAAATCAATCTATATCAAAAAAAATTTCAAGCCTAAATTTGTCATGATGGAAAAAAATATATCACAACAGAATTCCTTATATTTAAAGAAACAGGCTAAAATTAAAATTGATTTTTTTCATTATAGAAATCAGGCTAACTAACAATTTTCTCTTTTCTTTTCACTTTCTCTTTTCCCTATCAAATTAGGAATTAAAAAATTACAGAATAAAATTTGAGATCAAAATTAAAATTTTAAAAATTAAAAGGACTAACCAAAATAGATAGATAGAAGAAATCTAATTTAAAAGCGGCCACTTGATTCCTCCATATTTTTCACTTTGATAATCTTTCTTTAAATCATGTTTTCCTATAATAAATAAGGATTAATCTGTCATTAATTTGATAACAAAAGAATGGTATCGGAAAGCTAAAAGAAAAAAATTAAAAAAAGTGACTACTTCAATTTACAGTGAATTTAGGCATTTGCAGTGTATATTTCCCATTCCCACTAGATATTCTTAATACTTCGTTTTTTTGAATTGCCTTAACTTTTCACCATTGAAATCCTATCTCCTTTAACATTTTCTCTTCACAAAATTTCGCTTCATATCCAACACAACGTTACCTTATGTTAAATATTTATACAAAATATTAATTGTCAAAACATATTATGAAAATCTGGTAATAACTTTAAAAAATAAATAATTGAAGTGTGATGGCAGCAACATAATGATCATTGATTCCTAACAATTTTTAATGGTGTCTAAGAAAAAAAAAGTCCTTAAAGCTTAGATGGCCATGGTATGGTAATTTGGAATGGCAAAAAATAATGGAGGCGTTTGGCATTTGAGGCAGCAATGCACGTAATTATCTGCAGTTGTGTCAGAGTTTCTAGCTTCTAGCTTCTAGTCCTAGAGATAGATATGGAGAACTGGAAAGCATGCTGATGTTATAGAGCCCGAACCCTGTTCTATTATAAGTAGTATTAAAGACTGCTGCAGTGCGGTGCACTCTCCTTTCATTTCTGCGAAACTCCGCTCCTCCTCCACACCTTAACTCTCTTCTCCCATGGCAACACGCTATAAACTGCCATCGTTCGTTTTGTTCTCTTACCACAAGCCCTTCTTAAACCATAAACAAGACCAAGAGTACCCGCCTAAAAGGAATTTCGCTGCCTGTGCGTGCTTTTTCATTCAAGAAACCCAGGTTTGCTAGTACTCCTGCCGTGCTATTTATATTTGGTCATATTTATTTATTTATTATTTTTTTAGGGGCAGTAGAAAGGTAAAGAACAATGTGGAGCTTTGCAATGGTTTGCGTGAATTTGTATCAAGTGCCAGAGGGTCATGTTCCTTCATTCAAGGACTTCAAGATCATGGAAGGTTCTTTTCTTTCTTCAATTGCTGCTATCTTTGCTTCATTGGTTCCTCGTAAATTGCTTGTGGGTTTCTTGTAAATTTCAAGGCTTCGTTTGCTTTACAAGTTAATTTTCGAAGGAAAAAAAAAATGTAATCTAATTTTGCGCAATGAAGTGAAATTCATATACTATGGTGGCAACTGGAACATTTCCCTTGCCAATTATAAGCAACATAATTCGATTATTTGAATACTACATATCGTTCTCAAATAATTTTTTTTTCTTCTGTTAAAGAAGAACTCGTGCATGCATGAGGACAAGCCTTTCCATTCAAGAAATAGAATTTTACTTATTTTCCTTTATATTGTCTGAACATTCAATAGGAATAAGCTGGCCAACATTGTGAGACGGAGAGGATGTACAATTATCGGATATCTTCTTTCAAATTCAACGGAATCGGACACTGATGAGACGCCTAACATGGAGAAGAATTTAGTCGAAGGACTAGATGCAATCAGTCATAGTGCTGGTAGAGCAAAAGGTCAATTCTTGTTTCTTTTGTCCATGCTTGGATTTTTTTGTTAAGTTTCATTGTTGTTGATAGCGTTACATAATCTAGAAGGCCAGGATGAGAAGGTGAAGTATAGTTCCTTGTCAACCAAAAGTTCCTGTCGTTAAGAGCCATTCTGGAAATATAGATTTTGATCCAGAAAACAAATTTGGTGGACAAATTTGCATGCCTATAGAGTTGCCAGTTGATTTGTCATTGGAGGAGAAGGCTTTGTAAGATGAAGAGCGGCCAGATGAAAAAGTTTCAGACCGTAGTAGAAGAAAGATTGGTGTCATCACCCTTGAGTCCTCTTGAACAGCAGGATGAGGAGGTTAAATGTTTGATTGAAGATATTTCCTTGTCAGCACCACTATATGATGTGGTACAGCAAGATGAAGAGGTTTTAAGCATGGTCAAACAATTTTCCTTGTCCGCTGAAGTTTCCATTGCAGATAGCAACTTGGTGTCTTGAATGTGTGTCCAGATCTCAACTCCGATGATAATACTTCCATGGCTGTTGAAACTTCAGCTAATTTATACTTGGAGGAAATGGTCAAATATGATTCAAGTCAGGATGAGAGGGTCAGCTTTGGGGCAGTAGAAATGCCTTTGTTGAGCGGGGTTTCAGACACAATATTATCCCGGTGTAAAAAATGTTCCAGGTCTTGTTTATGAAAATTATGGTTGCATGTCAACCTATTCATCATTGGAGGAAAAGGTGGCAGAATTCATTCGAAATGGAAAATCGGATGCCATCGAAGGTAAGTTGATTGAATTATCTTACCCTGTTTTCACTTACGTTATTACTATTGGCCTATGGAAGAAGGACAGAAAAAGTGATGGTTCTGGCATGCATAAAGGTGTTCGGTGTAGTACTAAAATATATTTGTAAGGAATTGACGAAATGGGTTTGAAAGAATTGTAAGTATGTTTCTGTTTTCTGGTGTCTAGAACCCTATAAGCGGAAAACCACCCTGCAATTTGGTGTTCTTTAGCATGCATGTTGCTGGTTGTAAAAGCAGTGAGGGATTTCAACTTGTTAAATTATGAGCTTTCATGTGGGAGGTGCTCCCTGTTGTCTAAAGAAACATGTTTGCCCAGTTGAATTATTGTTAAGAAATTTTCAAATTGTTAAATGGATAGTCCTACAGTGAGGCTAGAGGTGCAGTTGAGGCACTCAAGTTGTTTGAAGCTTGTCTCAGTATGAGCTTGTTTAAGCTCATTTATCAAGGTTATTGAGTCAAGCTCATTTCCAAGAAGAAGCTGAGCTTGGGAAAGTTGAGTTCAACATATTTATTTATTATGAAGGAAGAAAGCTCATCTTATTTAGGGTCATGTATGAGTCTTGGCTCATTTAGTTTCATATGGTCTAGTGATTTGGCGCATTTGAACTTTGTTGTTTAATCTTGTATAAGAACTCTTGTGCTAATTTATTATAAGATTTTTTAAAAATAAAAGCTTTTGAGCCAGTAAATTTTGTAAAGAATATTGATTTTATTGGATTAAATTTTCAAGCACTGTTTCGTGATTATTTTTAGTGGAGCTCAGACCGAGCTTGTGGCTAACAAAAATTAAAAGAGAAGCTTCAGTTCCCTGCCTTAGGCTGCTCACAAACATGATATGGGTTTGAACCTTCCAAAAGGTTAGTTGAGCCAATCATATCCTCATGCAAGCTTGGATGGACTTGGCTCATCAACTCATTTGCAGCCCCCAGTGAGGCTTTTGTTACTTGTGGGATTTTACTGGGATATTATAGTTTCTTCTGTAACCAAATTCTCTTCTGTGCATCTGATCGTCAAAATTCACGTAGTTATATTGATGCATTCAGCACTTGACTTCACATTAATGGCATGTGGACTGGCATCTATGCTCCTCTATTCATATATATTTCACTGTTGATGATCAGGTAATGTCTATGGTTTGTCACATGGAAGTGGTAGTGGAGAAAGCAAGGGAATTAGAGAACCAGAAAATATGACTGAATTTCATTCGAAGATCTTAACTGATGGGAACTTTGAAAATGCATTTGGTGAGAGTGATACTGCTTCAATATTAAATGGAAGTTTGTCGACATTGATGCAAGTTGTGCCTTCTTTGACAGTAAGCCACACCGTTAGGTTAGCCCATTGTACATTTTCTGAAACTGTTCCCTTTTTTAAGTTTTAAACTTTTGCACAGTGTTAAATATGATTTTTCATCAATTTTATATTATGATGCTTTTTGTAATGCAGCTCATTATCTCTGTTCCTTCTCTCGTATTGAGTGATTAGCTCACTGTTTAATCTACCAGAGAATTGTGGAATTGAAGAAAATTTGGAGATATATCTTGTCTAGTTTTAGTGTAGAAATAGTTGGTGTAAGGATTCCAAATTTTTGTTTCATTCACGTTCCTGTCAGCTGCTGATTATTGCATTAACTGCTGGGATAAAAAATGAAGCTTTGTGATGTACTCATTTTTCTCTTAGATCTCTTTCACTATTGACTTGTATGTAGGAATGAATCGCCAGATGAAAGTCTAGCCAGTGCTGATATCACTTGCATAAATCATGTGGAACTTATCAACTGTACAAGTCATAATAAGGTCAGAGAGACATAAAAGTTACAGAAAATGCTTTTTCCATATCTCTCTTGAATATGCAGACATGTTTTTAATATATAGCTTTGTTGCACAGAAAGTGACTTAAGATGCTTTTGTGTGTGTGTGGCATGACTGACATTTGCAAGAATGATTCTCATCCTTTAATTGTACCTCAGTAGTCCTCTGCGATTGGTAATCTCCCAGCATAATAAATTAAATATTTTCATAGGAGCATCTCAAATTTAATCATTCAAAGGATAGTTTGTGTGTATATGCTTCCCAACAGAAGCATTTATCTAATGAATGTTCCAAGATTCTCTGTTAGTGCTAACAATATCATATATGGGAAAGTTATTCTGCTACATGGAAGTTTAAAAGTTAATAGAAATTCAATTTAACCTTAAGATAACATGAGCCTGCTCAGTTAATTAAATTCTATTTATGTTATATGATTAGTTTAATGAGTAATGACTATCTCAAGAATTTACATAATGCTCTCACAGATAAAATTCATTGTTGATGGCCATTGGAGGTTTGATCCTCAGATGGAATCACTCACTAAGGGTGGAATTTTCAGCAACATTCTCCGAGTCGGTTGAACCACTCTCATCTGATGCCAGTGGAGAACTTGCGAAGAAAGGGTGTTGGCTTCTTTGCAGCATATGGAAACAGAATTCCATGTTCATTGAGATAAAAGATAAAATCCATTGCTGGCAAGAACCTGGCTAGCAGCAAGAAGAAATCTGAGACTTGTTATACCATCCATAAGCATGAAGTCGAAAAGTTGATGATGCACTGCTGGGGTGCCTGTAGGTTTATTCTAGATAGAGGAATATAGCCTCGAGGTTTTGGGCAATGGTCTCTTAGGAACAGCAAAATTTGGTGAAGGAATGAGCTGCTAAATTCGCTTTGTAAATCTTATCCAGCGTAGCATTAGTCCTAGAGCACATTTGGAATGGAGGTTCCCTCCTCTGCTTGTATTTTCAGCTCGCAGGTAACGGTTTTGTTTTTTTTTTAATCATTTGATGTGGTGCTTGGTTGCTTGTATTGGTTGGATTATAATTTAAATATACTTTCTTAATTTTAAGAAAAATATTTTAATGAGTTTATACTTTAAAATAATATTGAAATCTTGATGACCATTTTGAATTTTGAAAAATGATTCCAATAAGCCTAGCTATTCAATCCAATAACCAAAGAAAATAATAATAATAATAATCTATGGGCAATATTTAACTCTATGAAAACCATAAAAATTCCTAATCAAATTTTATTTGAAAAATATAATTTAAAGTTAATACTCAATGAATAAAAAAAATATCATAAAAAGCATAACAATAATAATAATAATAATTTTATTCGAAGAATACCTAATGAATAAGAAAAATACCATAAAAAGCATATAAAAAAATAATAATAATCTTACTCGAAAAATAAAAAAAAACAAAGTTATTAATTAACAGGATTAAAATTTAAATTATATAATCAAATATAAATTTAGTGTAATAATTTTTTTTAAGGAATGTATGATGATGATAAAAAAAAATAGCAAAAACAAAAAGAGTTAACCATTTTATTTTAAATTTTTGCTATTATGGGGATATATGATAATAATGAAAAGAAAATTTTAATAAAAAAAGTTAATAAATATTAAAAAAAAAAAGTTAATAGGCAACAAACAACTAGTAATACTTCTACCAACATATAATACAAAAATTATTAAAGAAGTCAATATAAGAAGATTACTTTCTCTGAAAAAAAAAAAGAAGAAAACTTTATGGTCACAATCAACAAATTAATAAATAAATAAATAAATAAATAAATATATATATATCAAACAATTATGAAAATAAATTACAATATTTAATTATTCGAAATTCTTAATTTTATCTTTTGATGTGTTACATTTTCTTAGATCACATTCTAAAATATTCTGCATTGATTTGTCATAATGCTTGATAATCCATTCTCTTCTTCTTCTTTTTCACTAATTTTCTCTTGCTAATTAATTACGATTTGCAAGACACCAAAGGAGGGGAAATAATGAGAAAGAACTGAAATCAATGGGAGGGGCATTTTTCCTTTTTTTCGTATTTTTGTGAATGGAGTAGTTGCATGTTTGTGCGACTCAAAAATCCAAAGGAGAGCCCATGGCGACCACGAGCAAAGGGTCCTTCAATGCAAAGTCGTGTCTAAAGCCCCACCTTTCTTGCCAATCGCCACTTTCACTCCTCTTTTATCCTTTCCCACCTCTCTCCACCCTCTTCACCTCAGTTCTCCTGCTCTCTTCCTCCCACCAAGAACATCCTCCACTAGTGTCAAAAGACACTCTCGTGTTGCTCTCAACTCTCACTCTCTTCACAAAAATGCGTTGATACTTAATGCTTCCTTCTCCTCTCTTCTTCTCAAGAATTCTTCTCCTCTTCTCCCTTCCTCTTCATTTCCCAATACCTCTGCACCTTTCTTTAGGGTCCCAACTCATGACCCTTCACAATACACGTTGTCTGGTTCTACAAGAAAAATAAGATGCTTTTATTCGTGTTTTGAAAAGAAGAGGGAGTTCATTGAAGCTGTTGATGAGAGTGAAGAAGTAGAACTTATGGACAAGCCAAAAATGACCCTTTTGTACTCTTTCATTCCCCTGCCTCTGCTATTTACAGCTGCTCTCCCTGGAGGTAAAATTAACACTCTACTACTACTACCACCACCATCACCATCATATACATGTTAGTATTTCTTGGTGAGATTTGTTTGGTTCTATTGATATCTATATATAGATTGCGACAATTTGATCGTAACAGTTTATAGTACACATTTAGATGATGCTTAGCATAATGAGGTAGTTCACATATAGTACTCTATGAACCAGTCTTTTTGTATTTATAGGATTCAATCTTCTTTATACCAAGCCAAAAACTAGATCATAGGATTGAGGTAGTAGGCATTCTCGAGTTAATTTTATTTGATTTCGGAACAATGCCTGTAAGAGCAGTGACAGTTTCTGTTCAAAGGAAAAAAGAGCAGTGATGGTTTCAGAATCTATTCCATATATCAGTTATTGTGAGGAATTAAGGGTAGAGTTCCTTCTTGAGCTGAATTCTGGACTGGATTTTCCTACAACTTGAGTGGGTTTGAGATCATAAATCATGGCAATGAAAAGTTGATCTTCTTTTGGTTGAATTCTTAAGATTGAAAATGATGCTCTAATGTTTGTTTAATCATACCAGTTAAACTGATGCCTGGTGAGTAATTTTCGATACATTAAATTGCTAAGACTGAGAGCACTAGAGTTTGCATTCTTTCATGACTTACAGATGCTTCAATGACTTTATTGAGGGAAAGACAAAACAACTGAGGTTAGGAAATTAGGTGTAAATGTAGGCTAGAACTTCAACTGGTAAACCAGGTAAGAGTACATGATTAAATTCAATAGAAACTTCACTTCTGCCCAGTGTGGTATTGGAGCTTAGACCCCTAGAAGGTGTCTTTTTTCATCTTCTTTGCCTCAGCTTTCATTAATTTTTTTATGCTGGTCAATTAGGGAGCGGAGTGGGAGTGCTTTGCTTCCATTTCCACAATCCATCTCATATGTTCAAGCACTGCATCTCCTTAAAATGGAATTTATATTCACCCCAAGGTTTTCATGGATCCAAGAACTTCTCATCTAACTGACAGTGTTTGATTTTAGGTCCTTGCTTTTCTACACCATTCCTAGGCTTCTTCTATACATAGCACTGACTGACACTAGCTCATGCTGCATCATTAGGCCTCTAGTTAATTATTCCCGAATCATAATAAATTCACTTCTATATTTGTGTCATTTTTAACTTTGAGTATTGACTAGAGGTTGATTATCTGAGTAACAGCTGCGACTGTAAGGTCTCTTTTTGGGCCTTTCGTTGAGCTTGTCAAGCAATTGAATCTTCCTGACTGGCTCGTGCATTGGGGTCATCCTGGAAACATGGTATATAATTCGTCCCTTTTCCATTGTTCCTCAAGCTCATTCAAAGGATTTATCTTTTGTTTGCCTTATTTGAGTATGTTTTCTTCACTTGTAATATATATTACTTAGGCTGTTGTGCTCTTCGCCATGGGTGGTTATGGAACATATCTTGGATTTCGAATCCGGTTTTCTGATGATGTGGTAAGATGTTATTGCCCAGCAATTTACACGAGTGATGAAAAATTTTGATTGTTTTCCTCTTATAATTGATAACTGAATTGTTTATGATCCCTACAGGAGGAGAAGGCCAAGGCCAAAGACTTGCATCCAAAGCTTCTTGGTGGGATGTTTTTCTTTTTCGCTCTTGGAGCAACTGGTGGAATAACATCTTTACTGACTTCAGACAAAACTATTTTTGAGAGGTGATCTTAAATTATATGACAATCTGTTTCCCCCCTATCCAAATACAATACACTGATTCTTTCCTTGGAGAATTGATACCTTAAATTTTGTTTGTCATCTGAATTCCATTATTTTGGTTGCAGTCCTCATGCTGTTACAGGTGTTATTGGCCTTGCTCTCTTGACCATACAAACCATTTTACCAGCACTATTTGAGGTAAAAATACCCAAGTTTGCAACTCCTAACAGATACTGAAATATGTTGTGGCAATAATTCTGAAAATAGACATAGGGTGTGACAATTTATAGCGGCATATCATGAACTTATTATCTGTCCTTGGTGTTCATGCCAATTATTGGATTCTCACTTTAATCATATAAACGCATGATGCAGGGGAATCCTGGATTGCGAAATATTCATGGAATCTTGGGCAGTGGGATAATGACCCTCTTTCTCTTCCACGCTGTCCTTGGACTTCAACTTGGTCTCAGTTACTAATCCATGCATGGATCCGTAGGACCTTTCGGCTATTCATTTTCCCTTGTTGTGTGTTCTTTCCGGTTCTGGGAACCATGCCTCTCCAATACAAACAAGCAATTGAAAAATCATAGTGTGACATTTGGTAGTAGAAAATCTCGTTAATAATTTACAATTTTCATGGAGTTTCCAAGTACAGATACAATTTTTTCATAACCAAACCGCCAATTACCTAACCAAACATTGCCGCTTCTTTTTATTAACAAAATTGAGTTATTCGGATCTTCGACACGTGCTATCAAATTTATGTTGAATGTTCGAAACTTGCAATGCTTCTATGAGTGATGCTTAGTTTAATATGTTTTTGTAATAAATTAGTTAGTTATATGTGATATTATTTTATTTATATAAATATATATTTATTGTTATTAAAGATTTAATTTGTTTTTAATATTCATATAATATTAAATTAATAAATCTAAAGTAAAGATAAAGTTTATGAGAGAAAAATACTTTTTAAAGAAAATTGTGAAATTATTATAATTATGAGATTTATATTATATCAAAGTATTATTTATAAAATGTTCATGGTTGATATTTTTTTAAATACTGAACATTTATTAGAGTCGTAAAGATTGATATTTGTTATATTCTTTTTTTCATGAGAAGAAATAGTTATTTTCAAAAGTTGAGGTATAAGAGATATTTAAAATTAATATGCAGGTGTTTGTTATAAGACATGTATACTAAATTGACCTACATATGAGAATTTCATATGAAAAGATCATTCATGTTTATGAAAAGACTCACATGACAGTTGTGCAAATAATTCTTAGATTTGAAATCACTAAGTATTGTTATAGGAAAACATGATTTAAAGAAAGATTATCAAAATGAAAAATATGGAGGAATCAAGTGACTGCTTTTAAATTGGATTTCTTCTATCCATCTATTTTGGTTAGTCCTTTTAATTTTTAAAATTTTAATTTTGATCTCAAATTTTATTTTTTAATTTTTTAGTTCCTAATTTGATAGGGAAAGGAGAAAGTGAAAAGAAAAGAGAAAATTATTAGTTAGCCCGATTTCTATGATGAAAAAAATCAATTTTAATTTTAGCGTGTTTCTTTAAACATAAGGAATTCTATTGTGATATATTTGTTTCCATCATGACAAATTTAGGCTTGAAAAGTTTTTTGATATAGGTTGATTTTTATTTTTTGATTGATTTTTGCTAATTAAAAACTATAAATGGGTTTATTCAAGCTTTTTAGATGTTTTTTAAATGTTTATAGATGAAAATATGATGAAAAATAAGTTTTTACCTAAAAAGTCAGAAACCTAACATGTTGACCACAACATTAAATCTAAGATGACATGTTGTCTAGAGTAGGAAATGTTTATAGATGAAAATATGATGAAAATTAAGTTTTTACCTAAAAAGTCAAAACCTAACATGTTGACCACAACATTAAACCTAAGATGACATGTTGTCTAGAGTAGACAATGTGTCATTTGTTAATTTAAAAAAATATATATACAACGTGCATCTATTAAACTTAAAAAAAAAAAAACCAAACATGTCGGTACATACCTAATCAATTTTACTTTGGGCCAAAGTCAAGCCTTATTTTTCTTTTTTCTTTTTTGTCTTAGACTTTATTTAAATCAAATGGCTTAAATTATTTTTATTTTTCTTCTAATGAGATTATCATATTTTTTAATGATGTTAGCAAGCACTTTGTTTTTCATGCCATTTATCATTGTGTTTTTTTATTTTTTTCTATAAATTTTTATTATAATTAATTATTATTGAATAAATAATATTATATTTTGAGATATTGCATTAAATGTAATCTTGTGATTTTGACAATTACTAATAATTTTATAAGTTGTGTAGGATAAATTGAATTGTGACTTGTACAATTTTTGTTGAAAACTCATGCAAAAGGCTATGGAAGATTTATTACCAACCCTAGTCTATATTAGCATTCAAGGTCTATACTACCATCCTGAGTCCAAAAGAAAAATAAAAGAGGCACATGTCATGCTAAAAGGACTTTAGCCTTCTTTTTGGAATTAATTAATATTATTGTTTTGAATGACCTTATTGTCTCTTCATGTTATAATGTTCCAAACATATAAAGCATATAATAGCCACTTAAAGATTTTGAAAAGTTATAGTTTTGGATTTCCATTAACCCTGTTAACTACTACTACATATGGTAAATACGTGCAGGGTGGTGATTATTACTCATCTAAACAATGTTCATCAACTTTTTTTTATCTCAAACTTTTTTAATTATAATTTCATCCTTCCAAATTATACCATAATAGTTTTGTAGGTTGAAATTTCTTTATATTTATATTTTCTCATCCTCCCAACATATATTATAATGGTTTTGTAGGTTGAGATTTCTTACATTTGTATTTTTTAATGCACGCAAAGTATTTAAAAATTTATTTTGATTGAATTGAAGACCAATTTTTCAAAACCAAATGTATCGGGTTGTAATACATAAAAATTAAAAATAGGTTGAGATCCCATTTTGATATTTGCAAGAAAATTTACAATTTTCTCCCTATACTTTTAGTTTATCTATTTTTCAGTCCCTTGAATTTTTGCATTTCATATTTAGGTTAAAATTTTTTTTTATGTTTTTGTCCTTGAAAGTTAAGAGATAAGAGAGAAAGTCGTCAAAAAAATTAAGAAGAGAGAAAATTATTGGTTGTCGACATTCCGACCACCAAAAAGAGTGATCTTAGTGTCAATAAATTAAGTTTTTTGGAGGAATTTAATGGAGATGGTTTCTCCTCTCACAATACCATATAAAAGGTAGATCAAAGTCATTAATTGTTTTTATTCAGTTATTTTATGCTTTTATGAGAGATTAAAGGTTGTTTTGTGGTTAAAAATAGATTTGTAAAGACTTATAGAGTGTTTTTTTAAAGGTGTTTTCATTGTGTTTTTTCCTCTCACTATGCCAAAAAAAATAAATCAAAGTTATTAAATATTTTTTTATTTGGTTATTTTTTGTTTAAACTGTGAAGAGAATAGAGGTTATTTTTTAAATAATGGACAACTGATTAGTACTTAAAAGTGTATTTTTATTAAGGTTTTATATCATCATTTTGCACTTAAAATATCAATAACTCCTTAACTAAAGCATGTTTTATAATAACATATATAATAATATAAGATACCTTTAATTTGTGGTAAATGCTCATTTTAAATACAAGCCTATCACATAAATGAAAGGATTGATTGATGAATTTAAGAACTAAAATTGAAAGGAAAAAGAGAGGCCCAAACTTAGAAAAGAGATGCTGGTGCAGTCCAAACCGAAACACTATTTGGTAATTGGATCATATCTGGAGCTGTAAATCTTAGATTTAGGTCTACTTTATATGGATGGAAAGATAAAACATGGGCCTACAATTTTTATATGGAGCCTAAGATTTAAAAAGGTCATTTTCAAGTTCAAATTATAGCAACAACAAAGAAGTCTAAATCTATCCTACAGCTCGCGCACTGTTCAGTGTTTAGCCCATATCTAGAGTTTTAGAAGTCCAATTGAACATTATTTTTTTAAAAAAAGCTGAGACAATTTTCTACAACTTTCATGTTTTCAAGTGGTTTCAATTCTGATGTTATCAATGATGTTTTGGGCTAAAAAAAGAAAATAAGGATTGTCACCAAGTCAAGAGTTAACCACCCACTCATCAATTAGTCATCAAATCAATAGTTTTCAATTTTGGCATATAAAAGGAGGCATTTGCCATACATTTAGACATCTTAGTCTCCGGGTTAAGATCATACTTTTCCTTTCTCTCTTTGTATTTTTGTAATGCTTAAATTTTTATTTTTATTAATATCTTGTTTATACCTTTCATTTCCTTTCCTTTACTTAGTTAACTTTTATCTTATTTATATTTTTATTTTGTTTATTTATTTTTCTTTCTTTCATTATGTTTAATTAAGTTTATTATGTCAAGGTGAAAAGGTTATACTAATGGTGTAAAAATAAGTATAATGTAAACTTAACATAGACTTTAATGTTTGATACTAACATGTTGTATATTTGTTATCTTGTTCACTTTTTAATACTTTGCTTGTTAAATGAGTAATCTAGATTTATGTTATATAACACTTGGCATAACAAATGCTTGGTTTTTTTATAGTCCATACTGTATGGTATAACCGACAACTGAGCTATGAAAAGAACTTGATTTGTTGTTAACATAAGTTATAATCATGAATGCCT